AAAAAAAAAAAAAAAAAAAAAAAAAGAAGCAATGCTTTCCAATCCCAAAATTAAGTCATCTCTACATTTCAAATACGTTTATTTATAGGTTCCTATTCACTGAAACTTATTCCATTACCATTGGCACCACAATAGTTTTGGAAAAGCAGTTAGGGTATTTTTGGTCCCAGAAACATCTTTCTTCTGCCTGGGAAATCTCATCCTTTGTCTTTTTCTCAAATGTTTACCTTTCAAAATAAATGAAGTCACTTTGCCAAAAAGTTTGTTCTGATCTCTGCTTGCCTCACAATCACTTTGTGAATTTCCCTATACATGTAACACTTTATAGTGAACAGGACTCCTTCTACTAGATTGAAGGCTAATTTTAGGGCAGGGGAACTTTGATCCCCTCTGCCTAGCTAGAATTCATGCCTCATCCTCTCAAGAGCACCGAAATTGTTTGTCTGTGCCAACACGACTGGTATTTTCACTCATCTTTACACCAACAATGCCATGCAAACAGGTTTTCATATATTTTTTCTTTTCTTTTTTTTCTGGCAGTACCAGGGATTGAATTCAAGAACCTGTACTTGCCAGGCAAGTGCTTATTCTACTGAGCTATATCCCTGGCCCTAGTTTTCACATGTTTGCTGAAGAAATAAAAGCTACATTCATCCCTGGCTGTTACATACAGAAACAGAATATACCTCAGCCACCTTTGCAAGGTAGTGTGTTTGAATCTTTCCTCCATATTCTAAGTATGACTTTGGTCACCGTGGTGCACACCATGGCCAGCACTTGGGGCAAGAGAAATGCCATGAGTTCCAGGCCAGCCTGAACTACAGATCAAGACCCTCTTTTTTTTTTTTGGTGGAACTAGGGATTGAACTCAGGCCCTTGTGCTTGCCAGGGAAGCGCTTACTCTACTGAGCCATCTCCCCAGTCCCAAGACCCTATCTCAAAAACATAAAGTAGGGCCAGCCAAATAGCTGGGGATTTAATCCCTGGGGCCTGATGTGCCAGCCCCACTCCTGGGGCACACTAAGATGGCAACTGAGACTGGATGTGGTGGCGCACTCCTGTAATCCCAGCTCTTGGGAGGCTGTAAGCAGGCGGATCACTATGAGTTCGATCTAGTAGTGAGACACTGAACACCTGTAGAACCTTCTCTAAAATTAAAAAACAAAAACAAAAAAAACATAAAACAAATCAAAATAGTCAAAAATAAAAAAAAAGTAGAAAAAGGTATTTAAAAAAAAGCAAAAAAAAAAAAAATCAGGAGAAGTATTGCTGAAAGTGACAACATAAAAGGTAGAATGTTTTAGCTGGGCATGGTGATACAGGCCTATAATTCCAATACTCTGGGCAGGGGGGCCCACCCATTAGCTCAGTTGTTTAAGTGCCTGCTTAAAGGAGGCAGTCAGTCTCTGGGAGCGGTGGTTCCATTCCCAGATACTCAAGGCAACCCAGACCAGTGCTGCTCGAGGTCAATGTGGAGCCGCCAAAAAAAAAAAAAAAAAACACCCTTCAATACTCTGGGCAGCTGAGGCACAGGATGGCAAGTATGAGCCCAGCCTGGGCAATTTAAGGGATCCCATTAAAATGAAAACAAGGTTGGGGATATGGCTCAGAGTGAAGGTCCTGTTTCCTTCAGTGCTAAAAAAGGCAGGCAGCAGGCAGGATGTCTGGGCTGCATTTGATCTCAAAGTTGGTACTACTAACAGTTTCACTGCTTAAACACAGAAGTCACTAGTCATGTAGGAATGTTAATTTTAAGGAATATTTCTATCAATGTTTTAATTTGTTTAACTTTGGTAGGTGGATCATGGAACCCAGGGAGTGCTGAGCCATATTCCCAGCATTTTTCTTTACTCTGAGACAAGAGTTTAGCTAAGTTGTCCAGGCTGACCTTGAACATAGGAATCCTTTTACCTCAACTCACAAGTAGGTATGTACCACCACAACCAGTTTTAATTCATTCAAATCTAAAAATTCAGTTCCTGGTCACAATGCCCACAGTTCAATACTCAAAACCACATGTTTTGAGATACCGCATTGGCCAGTGCAGACACATTCATCATCAGAGTCCTAAAAGTGGTACTTCAATAATTATCTACTGTTATTTGGCAGACACAGGTTTCTTTGTGTTTGTGTGTATACCAGGAATCAAACTCAGGACCTTGTGCTTGCCAGGCAGGTGCTTGAGACACAGGATCTTTACATTTTGATTCTATCCACTCTTCAAGATCTTTCAAAGGGGGGCTGGGGAGATGGCTCAGTGG